TTTCAGGAATAAAGCAAATTTCACCGATACAGTGCTCTCTGTTCACATTTCATTGCTTAAAAGCATTGAGACAGTCGAGACTGTGGAATCAGTATGTACAAGCAGAGCAAAAGATAACATAAGCTCAGTCCTTACAGCTGCAAGCTCATGCTGAAATTAAAAGGGAACAAATCCTCTGCTGTAACCCTTTCCCCCCCAGATGTACTGGTCTCTATGAAAAACTGCTTCTTCTAAACCTTCCTCTGCTTCTCTTCACCTTGTTTGCTACATGCACATTCCATATTCTGTTGAAACAGCCAAAATGGAAGAAAAGCTTAGCTCTCACATTAGCCTAAATGGCAGGTCACAGATGAAAGCAGTGCTGCCTCTAAGAGGAAGCAGACACAAGTAAGGCGCTCTCAACTGGTTCTCAAAATCACATCTTTTTCAAGCCAATGTATACCCTGCAGCTGTGCTCACCAGAGAGTAACTGATGCTTTTAACTTTCTGCATAATAGAAAAGCTTTTCAGGAGTGTAATATTACAGCATTTAGTTTTTCTAAATCAAATCCCTACCATCACAAACAAGAGAGGGGAAAAATAGATACTAAAAGGTACAAGTGGAGATTGTCCGTAAAGCTTTACAGAAGATGGCGGGCAGATGGTAGGGATTTGCAGTGACACAGCTGTTTTTAAAAATAAAGAGGTGGAAGAGGAGAGGCACAATTACAGCTACACACACATTCCTAAGCCTGTTCACACAAGAAGAAAAATTAAGCTAGCAGCATGAAATTGAAGTTTGGTGGGGTTTGGTTTTGTTTTGGTTTTTTTTATAATGTGGATTGACATTTAGAAACTTTGTAAAATAATCAGCCGCACTTTCAAGTTTCTTTTCCAATCATTAGTTTTCTAAGTATCTACAAAGTAAAGGTGACAACAAAAATATTAACCTACAATGAGGTATTAAAAAGACAATGTCAAAATTACTTTCAGTGCCTCCAAATAGTGCACATTTTTGCTGTAAGCCTTACAATATAAAAAGATAATTCAAATCATCAAATAAACAATATAAATTATGATACGTGTTTGTATTTCCTATGAAAGGCTTTAATTTTTCACTTTAGTATTTTTTTTTCAGACGTTATTAGTAGATTGCATACATAAGCAATGCAAGGAATAGTAAGATATACAGGGGTTATTGTAGATTTAACGGTATGGGAGGTGAGGCAGGGAAATGCTCAAATTCAACAGGGTATCAAGCATGGGATATGAATATAGTAAGAATAGAACATTTTTAAACTAAGCAGTAATTTGTATAAAAATACTTAATTTCATACTTTCACTGATTTTTAATGCATATTCTCATACATGTCCCCTACAACCACAAAGAAAGCTTATGCTAGGCAAACACTAAAAAGATTGTTAATCGACAGTGTAAAAGCCTGTCTTCTCCAGAGAATCCAATGAAGCTGCTTCTTGACAGCTTTGTTTACAAATTTAACTCTCTTCCAGTTAAGCTACTTCTAGATCCAAGAAATTTTACATTAAGAGGAGAGATACCACTGATGCCAAAAGAATAATCTGATCATTCCTCGTGGAGTCACCTTTTTCACACTGCATCAGCTCACTTTCTTCCGAGTATTAAAAATGACTCATCAGTGTAAACATACTTTTTGCTACCTTTTTAAAAAAAAAAAAAATTAAATCTAATTTTCTGAACATATGAGCTGGGACTCAACACAAGAAAAAGGTTATCCAGCACCAACCCACTAAAAACTTCATACATACCTCCAGAGCGACTGGTGCTGACTTTTGCTACGGCTGGGTATTGAACTGAATGGGCTGCGGGTGAAACCCATTACAAAAATGCCCGTATCCCACGCATTTACTCCACGATCTCTCCTTTCAGAGTGTCTGGGCTGTTCCCAGTCCAAAGACAACAGCAAAGTGATTAGTGTAGGTGCTGCCTAGCACACAAACAAACTCAACATCTGACAACATTTAAATTAATTTTATTTATACCAGGTTTTCAAAATCAGAAATATTTCAAAGAAATTCAATACTTATAGACAGGTGCTACATTGATGATCTTTGATCCACCATTAGTGCCATGTTTTCACTCTACAATCATTAACTCGCCACCACAAACTAAGGGGAACTTACAGAAGTTTATAAAAAATAGGCAGACATGAAAATTTGGGTTATACTGGAATTGGCATAAAAGAGTAAAGCTTATTATCAAATTGTGGCAATTGCTGTATTCTGTCACTCGTTCTGAGGGAATGGTACAGTGGAGAAAGACTCTTCCACTCAGAGAAACACTTTGGGTTTTAACTGAACATGCTCAAAATCCATTTTATGATCTGACTAGGAGCGATTCTTACACTCAACTCCGGATAAATTTAAGCTTTGCATTTGTAAAATCACAAGCATAAACTTCACCTACTCACTCTAGTCTTGGACCGATTTCCCTTTTCACAGAAATCAAACCTGTATGTCTATACCTCTTCCAGGATTTACTGCTGGTTTTGAAATTTTTTTTTAGAAGAAAAATGCCATTTCTGCACAAGCTACTCTCATGAAAATTTTATTTAACATTTCTTTACCAATAAAATAACTGAAGCCAAGATACCCAAAAGTCACATCTACACAAGATACACAGAACACACTCAACTTGAGAGGATTCTCCTCCACTTCTCGATCACAATGAGGCCCTCACCATTTTGCATAATGACAGAAAACAACAGCTGACAAACCATTTTGGAACAGATGCCAGCTGTCTCTCATTTGTTTTATAATTCAAACAGTAACAGTTCTGTAGCACTTTATTGGTTTGGTTTGTTGTTTTTTTTTTTTTTAAAAGCAAGCCATCTGAATTGGACCTCACATCAGTCAGTCAGTCTGTCATTTCAAGAACAAACTGAAGGCAGGCTGATCCTTTTGGATCCAAAACTTGTTTTGGTAGGAATCTTACATAAATACAGTTTGTGCTTCAATTTTATATCTACTTGGACTGAGTGAATATACACCTAAGCTAGTTTTTTTTTTTTAAAAAAAAAAAAGTAACCTTTAATATTCAACCTAGAAGCCACAGACATCTTTCCAGACTGTTTGCAGCAGAGACAAACAATAAATTTAAACACAGTACTGCTTAAAAAAGTTTACTGTCTAAAATGAAATTGAAATGGTTTATTAAAATTTAACATTTTCAGTTTTGGCTTTTTCTAAAGAAACCATTTATACCTTGTGAAAAATCAGTTAAAAGATCATTTCATTATACTGTACTGAACTCAAGTCAAACATAAAGCACAAAGTAGATCTTTACATTGAACTGGGCTTTGCACACAACATGAATAATCAGAAATAGGCTATTTTGAGGAATAAAAGATTATGGTTTTTTTAAATCTAGACAACATGCATACCATCAGTTACTTCTCAACCTTAAAAGGTACCTGAAAGGAGAGTTTTGCAGAACAAAACCAAGACTCATTAATATGCTTAGTAAGTCAGTGGTCATCATGCCTTTTTAGTTAAATTCTAGTAAAGTTTAGTCTACATAGAACAGCTAACACAATGAGGTGTGCAAGTCATAGGGATAGCCAGAAGCCTGAAACAAAGTCTTAAAGTTCTACAGGACAAGAGAACCTAAACACAGTGCCACTAGGTTACTTAAACTATTTTTTAAAAAAAAGAAAAAAGATATTATCTGCTTCCTTGTCAAAAAAGGGCTATGGACTGAACATAAAGGGCCCATATTTAAAAGCTCTACAGTTCTACTCTACCAACTTTTTAAAACAAGGTGATGATAAAGAGCATTCCTTCTAGCAGCATGTACAGTTCAGCTGCCAGTGGCTGCCTAACAGCGCTCCTTTATGCATACCAGGAGAATCATGTCCAGTTTTGCCATTTGTGGATAACGATGACAAGATACAAAAGCATGTGTTTGCCATAAATAGCTCTGGCTAAGGGAGGATTGCTCACACAGAGCAGATCAAATTCTCTATAAGGAGAGCATTATTTGGCTCCCAGCCAAAACATGTCCCTGATGCAAGCCTCAGTAGTGGCAAACACTTTCCAGTTCTATTTACATAGAAGCTAACAAGTACAACGGTTCATTTAGGCTATTTCTTGTACCAAGTCCATCTTAACTGCAACACTCAAGGAACAAAAAATATTTACCAGCTTCATATTCTGCATATACCTGCCATCACACATCATCTTACCAGAAAAGACGGCGAGCTGTAAGATTTTGTGCAAGGTTTTACTCTGACATGTAGAACTTTAAGAACATTCAGGTACGAAACACAGTGCGTGGTTAATTACTTCGTATTTTTACATTTCTGACACAAGTGTTTCATGGAACTAATGGTCTCTAGTAGTGGTAGCTTCTTTACTTTAACAGTAAACTAGGAGCAGGTCCTTTATCAAATGATCAGAAGAGCCACAAAGTACTGTAAAGCAGTGCCTAAATCCTGATTAGGAATGAAAAACTTGCATTATTTAAGATGAGATTAAAGATTGTTTATCTTTACAATACTTTCCACAGAAGTTAAGTTATTTGAAATATGCTTAAATTAAACATACTTAAAAACTGTATTTTCCAATGAAAACAAGGCAACATTCTGTAATAAGCCACAAGTTTTATTGCAACGTGGCCAGTTTTTGATCTCAAAAAACAATGTTCCATTTAAGGCTCTTTTTAATACAGAAATTGCCACCATGACTGATGTTTTACAAAACTTTAGTGTTTCAAGACTCACATGGTAAACAGATAACTTCTACTCCTGTTCAGTAGTGTACATTCAATGGAAAACAAAAGGCATCGTAACAGCTACTTCATTTATAAAGATATGCATGTAACAGGAATGAGATTGAGGTACTACAATAATTTGATGACACAGTTACAGCAACT